GAAACTGGGAAATGCAAATGACAAAAAATATAGGAGATTATACTAAGGTGCACAAGTTTGCTTTTCTAAATTAGTTCACTATCTGCCTTTCACCAAGTGATCATGAAAAATGTATATTCTGTTAGTGTTTCAGCTTCCTTATCAGTAAAACAAAGATTTAAAATAAATGACTCTCACAAGGAACTTTAATTCATGATGCAGAAGCAATGACATGAGCGAAATGCTACCAGGGAAAGAAGAATTACTTTGATTTTACTATTTATTATGTAAATGTTAATTAATCTTGGTTCAGAAAAGTTCCACTGTACATGGTGCTTTATAGAAACATAGAAAAAATTTGACACTGAGTGGTAGAGATTAAAAAGAAAAAGAGAGAAAAACAAAGATCCATAGCAACTTCACAAAAGTAATCATAAAATTGTAGACCAACATAAACATGTGCTGTTTCTTTTCTGTATGTGAATAGAGCTGAGGTACAAACAGAAGCAGGGTGGAATTCGCATTTTTCTTCTCACTATCAGAACTGTCAGTATAAAAGAAACAGACACTGTTTTTTTGAGAGGCTGAAGAGACCACGGAAAAACGAGGTAATGAAAAATCTGAACTTTTTTTTTAATCAAAGCGCAGCTACTATGAGAAAAGTATCTTTCATAAAAATAATAAGTTTTCATTTCATTCCAAAGAAGAAGGAAAGCAGGCTTCTGAAACATGCAAACTATCAACAGTCTACTTTCTAATTCCTATTTCCAAATCCTGGGAGCAACACAGGAACAGTCAAGACTCTTTTTCATTACCATTTTCAGGCTATAAGCATTTTGGAAAGCCTTGACACCAGCCGAAGTGGCCAAAAGAAAAGGGAAAAATGTAACTAAGAAAAATTCAGCAATCTGAGAAACATCAAAACATACATCAAGAGAGGAAAGAATCAGCTTAGCTGCAGATAGAATTTGCTTTCACATTTCCTTCTTTACAATTCTTGAATAATGCTAAGGTCTTTTTTATTGTTTCCCAATGAAATATCCAGTCAGAAATATCCAGCTTTGTATAACTAATTCCTTTCTACACCAGATTAGATAGCACTGTAAATTTCTTCCCCTTTCTGACTTCCTAAAGAAGTTGTAATATCACATTTCTGAGAACATGAGGAGCCAGATGATGATCTGAAGGACCTAATCAGCCTCAAAAGACACCATCCTCCTTTTTCATCAAAGGTATTTCTCAGGGATGTTTCATTCACAAGAGTAGCAGCATTGCAGAACGACAGAAAGGTTTAGGTTGGAAAGGACTTCTAGAGGTCATCTTTGTCCAGCCTTCACACCCAAGCAGGGACACCTATAACCAGTTGCCTAGAACCAGGTCCAGACAGATTTTGAATGCCTCCATGAAGGGAAACTCTGCAAGGTCTCTCAGAAACCTCATATCAGTACAAACATAAGAGTATGTTATGCCCTAGTGCTCTCTAAGATTGTAATGTTAGCAAGCAGTTATTTTATTTTTCCTGATTCTCATTTATGTTCTCCTTCAAAAAATATTCTTTGGCTTTAGCGTCAGACAGCCTTGGCCAGGTTCCAAAGTTTTTTTAAAGAAAAAATTAAATGGACTTCTATTTAGATAATTTATGCAGAAATTACTGTCAGTTTCATAGGCAGCTACTGATCCTCACTGTGACTGGAACTAATAACTATTACCAAGATATGATAATTTCATTTAACATTAGGAAACCATCTGGTGCCTTCATTTCATGTTGTAACACAATGACACTGTTTTGCTCAATCCAGTCTCATTATAAGAAGACAAAGCAGCTAAGGAAAAACATACACACAGATGATAAATTTATCTCCTCAGACACCTTTGGGCAACCCCTCCAGAAAATATACTCCCATAGATTTTTAAAGTAGGAGGGAACCACTGAAATCTAATCTGAGCTAACGATGGCTATGTATTTCATTGAATAGGCTCTAAAAAAAGCTTGGGCTATGCTATATGTATTCTCTTCAGAGTAGCTGATGGATGAATCCAGTCGACTACTGGATGAGTTCTACCAGGGTTTAATTACTGACAGTCTTAAAAACTTGCACTTTATTTTTGGTCTAAATCTGCCTAATTGTAGCTTTGAAACACTGGATCTTGTTATGGCTTTTTTTTTTTTTTTTTTTTTTTTTTTTTTTTTTTTTTTCTCCTGCTAGATTAAACAGTCATTTACCGTCAGAAGTCTCATTCTCTTTAAGGCACTTACAGAAGGTGAACAAGTCACTTCTTAACATTCTCTTCAGCAGATTAAATAGCACAATCATCTTTAGCCTTAAACTATAAAACTTTTCTTCCAGATCTACAGCTGTTCTTTGACTTTTTATGAATACCTTCTAATTTTAAACTTATTGTTGAAATGTGGTCACCAGAAAGGGACAAAATATTTCATTAATAGATTCCGTAATGTCATATACAAAGCAGTGTTTCTTCCTTCCCGATTCATTTGTTCATATAACAAACTAATATTTACTGTTTTAAGCCATCCTTCATCTGTTTGATAAAATAATCTGTTTGAAAAGCAATTTAAAACATTCTTATCCTAGTTTTCGTCCACAATGCAGGAAGAAATAGGCAACTGAAGCCTTTCTGTACTATCTATTTTTGGCGTCATTTCTGTACATTAAGACATTTTTCTGATTCATTTTTTATTTTTGTCTTCTTTGGTCATTTGCCTATTCTTCTTTTTTATAATAATTTTATAGTAGTACCTATGAACTGCTAGTAGTATCTAGTACTATCTTTTAAGGCAATTTCCCTTCAGACTTGTTTTCTTTTCTCCAAGTAAGAAAATCACATTCCTGAAGTAATTTGTGTATAGAAAATACAAATTTACTTTGCAAACACAACAGTATAGACAGAGTAGAACTACAGTATTTTGTTTTCTGATATTTAAACCTGCTCAAGTAAAACTACCTCATTTTACCAGAAAGCTTACTGGAACAGATAGACACTTTTCTACTGTAGAAATATTTAATTTAATTTGATTATATTCCTTATACAGTTAGCTCTAGTAAAAAGCATTTACATCAAGCATGCTCCAATTTCCACTTGGAAACTGTTTCAGACACTGAATGAATCAAATGAGATTGTATTTATTTCTCTTTTTTTGATGATTTCATGATTTCAGCATGATTTCATCTTATTGGCTGAAATACAAGAACAGTTGTGCCTACTTCTAATGCTTAAGTTTGGATACATTTTACTAGGTACAAAATTATACTAATTAATTTCCATACTTCTTAGATAAGATATTAAACTGATCAGTATTTGGAGTATTTGGAATGATTTATTTGCTAGCTGACCTTTCAGTGCATTTTTATCTTCCAAAATAATATCTACAACTTGTTCACACACAAAGTCTAAATATGTTTGTTCAGTAAAGTAACCTCAATTTGGCCTAAAGTTTATAAGCAGAATAAAATCCAAAGTTTTTTTTCTGGTTTCTCTTTCTCATTCATAATAAAGTAGAAGAATTCAGTATTAATAAAGCAATATTAAATAATGTGATCTAATGCCATTGCTCTGTTAAGTTCAGGGCATTTCAAAGACATAAATCTATGCACAATTCCTATTTTGATAGAATTCTCTCTCATTCACGACTACAATTTACAAGAAAAGCATAAAATATATCTAGCTAAATAAAAACAGAAGAAGAAAGAGAACAGTAAGAAAGAAACATGCAGAAAGAAAGTAGTATAGTGATATGTGGATGGAAAAACATACAAAGAAGAAAACATCATCTCTAAAAGAAAAGACAAATCACACACATTAAAAAAAAATGAAAAAGAATAAGACAGAAAGTTAAAGGTTAGAGGAAGGAAAACTAAGAGTTAGGAAGTTGCTTCTGGTAAAATTACTGCTGAAAAAAATTATTGGCAAGTTAAAATTGCTTTCTGATATTTTAGAGTCCACAGTTTCAGTCTCAGAAAGAACAAGTTCCAAGCCTTCTTCAGGACAAGAATGAAAATAAAACCCCATAGTATTTTCTGGTAATATACTTTGTGTCATCTATGTCCTGAGACTTAAATCATTTTCACACTTTAAAAAATCCAAGCTTATAAACTTTCTTTCAGTTATATTTCATTTAATTACTTGAAATATTTCCTGACATCTATAGACTTCTAATTGACTACTTACTTCTATTGACGTCCTCAGCTTCTTTTCTAAGAAGCATTCTGCGGAAAATACTGTGAACATTCCCAGTGCATGCTAAAAGTTAAGCAGCCTAAAACATTCTGATACACTGAAGTTGATTTTAATTTCCAAGCAAAAGACGAGAGATCTATATATGTATATATTTTTTAATAAAACAGTGAACCCTTGGATAGCCTGTAGGGTTATAACAATAAATAGCAACTTTTTAGACACCAGATATCTGAGAGAAAAAAAAAAAAAGAAAAAAAAAAGAAGCAAACATCTCTGAATCTGTTTACACACTCTTCAATTTCTGGGCCAGCTTATATTTTGTACCTTATTTTGCCTAGTTTCAAATGCCAGTGCAACAGTCACCTCAAAGCTTTAAATGAGAACATAGTGTCCATCAAAACAGAATACATTACCAAAGAGCCTTCAAAAGATTTTTCTTTATCCAGCTTCTTATATCCATAGAGAAGTCCAGTTGCTTGAGCAAAGACAAAATATGATGCTACTGAAATGATACTTCAAATCCTGTTCCAAAAAAACTCATTCTCACAGGAGAACTATCCAAGCAAAGTGTTCATGTTTGTTCACTTACTCTGTTACTATACATTAGATTCTTAAAGCAAAAATCATAAAAAAAAACTTGTTATTTTCCATGAGAGATTTTTCATTTGCTTCATTTGCTATCTTGTAAACCCTAAGAAAAGAGATTTTTAGTTGCTTTTTGCTTGCGGGGAAATAATTTCCTTTGCTAAACCTCAGCAGGCTTCACAGATCTTTCCTTCCACAGTTGTGATATGTTACCTTTTCAAACAGAATGTAAAGCTTACCTTAAAGAAAGTCATGGTTGCTCCATCTTCAACTGCCCCATACTCTATCTTTGTCTGCTTAGCCAAGTCATCAGCAGAATCAATAGGGGATTCCATACGTTCCACTGTCAGAAAGGCGGCTAGGTTAGCAGTGTACGAGGAAATGATGATAAGTGTGAAAAACCACCAAATGCCTCCCACTATCCTGGTGGAGAGGGCTTTGGGCATGAGCTCAGAACCTAATAAAAATCAGGGGAGAAAGGTGAAACCAGTGCACAGGAAACAATTAGTAAGTGTTCAACACTTTTTGCCACAGTGGGGAGATGGAATCACTGTGCAAAAAAAAAAAAAAATCTTCAAGCTATAGGCTCATGTGTACTACTTGTACAACCACACAACTGAAATGAAAAATAAGGACTGATTACACTTACAAAGACAGATTTTTTGGAGCTGTGGGTATTAAAGGATAGCAATGGGAGATTAAGTTATCAGTGTTTTAAAAAAATATTTTAAGAAAGAGTTACTTGAACTGGCTTTCCAGAAAAAAAAATCATGGCTGGACTAAGCCTCTAAATCATTATTATTATTGAAGCATACAGTTCTTTAACTTCAAGGCATAAAATAAGAATTTTTTAAATATTTTGTAAAATCTCTTGATTAAATTTAAAAAGTTTCTGATGAAAGGAACAGATACAAAAAAACTATTTCATATCTGAAACACGTAATATAAAATATAATATATATTATAAGCATAAAGGAATAATCAAATTTTTAGGTAAAAAGAAATATCTCCCATCTCTATAGTTAGCCACACAATTTCAGATAAACATCTATGCCATGTTTCTAATTTGATAGAGCAGCAATTAAAATACTAGACTGCTATGCATAAACTAGATAGATAGATAGATAGATAGACTATAATGCATTGCTGGAGTTGCCTGCTCATGGCACTAAAGAATGGAGGGGACTACAAACACTGCATAGTAATTGGCATAATTAATAAAGTTAATTTAGAGTCTGATGAGAAAAACTGAAGCACATATACTTTTGTGCATAATTACTAAAAATAGGAAAAATAAAATTTAATGTAATTAACAACCACAAGAATTTATTAATAATGAGTATGTATGGATTTCTGTCCATAACTTTATAATTAAATGAAATGAAATTTCTAATGTTGAATAAATAATTTCAAGCTTCACTGAAAGAACATTATAATTTTTTTAAATATATGTAAAGTTGCTTTAAGAAAAACGATTTTACCATATCCACTACATCACTGTATCAAAGCAATCCATTTTTGTTAATTGGTCAATGTTTGTTTCTAGATCTCCTGGGTAAAATGGAATGAAGGCAAGATGGACTATTTTATTCCTGTTAAATTTTACTGTTCATATTGAAACATTTAAGGAACTGGTCCAGCAAGGTAACACATCTTCATATAAATGAAAGATTATGCCAAACTTTCAACGTGAATGCCAAAAAAAGAATAAAACAAAGGGGGAAAAAAAAAGGGTGGGGAGGGAGGGAGAGGGGAAGAAAACCAAAGGAAAGAAAAAAAGAAGTGGTATCATA